ATATCATACACATACATTAGATTGTGGTTGCTGTGAAGCTGAACACTGTGTCATTGATGTGTCAAATGCATTAATGGTTACCACGGCGGACAGTGTTTGGTGGAGCTCACCAATTAAATCAAGGTTGGAAGCAGGAATGGCATCCATTTCCAAAATAGCTTGCCTCTGCAAACCCTATGAATCTGGAGAAAGAATAAAAGTCACATAAGTGTTGAAGACTTTCATTCATAAGGTCGCCATGAGTCGCCTATGACTCGATGGCATTTAACAACAGCAACAACTCTATGATAATCAATTCTCTATCGAGGGGCAGGATCTCAGTCGGCTTAGTTCCTCACATTCTGCAATATGAATGATCTGGGGGATTCCCCTCCTTTTTTGGGTTTACGATTCGGTGAAGGATGGTTAAAAAATGACTTCATATGGTATAAAAACATGAACTTTACATTTTAAGTAAGTGATGGAAATTGTGTATTCCTTCCACAAAGGGCATAGCAAAATCTCAATACCTGGGGGTCACTGGTCATGAGAATAAAGGGGCTGACTGTGGGGAAACATGACGTGATGAATATCGACATGTTCATCAGCTGCGAAGTAGGGTCATAAAAAAATATAGCCAAATAAGCGTAAATAACAGAAGAGGCGGCATAAAAGGTTACAAAGGTGCCCACCAGAACAAGTACTCTTTGGGAGATTCTCATCTCAGAGGAAGATCTGTGGAAGAGTTTGTTCTTATAAATGTATTTGACCTGCTGCCTGTGTCTGTACAGGATGAAAACCATGGAGCTGCTGGCCCAAGACATGAGCCCAAGACATAAAATGTCATGAGAAGACATAAATGTTGTAAAGATTAGTAACATAATATTGTCATCATGTGGTAAAGAACAGTATCCCACATGCATTTTCCTTGTGATGGTTTTGTTGCTCATTTGAGCAGAGAAATAGATGGGATAAATGGCATTGACCATCAAGTGCAGGACCCAGGAGAGGACACTGAAGGACCTGATATAATTGGTGACTTGTGGATTAAGTGCTGCCCACCTGGAGTTCCTAGGACTGATCGTGACGACCTGGAAGACACTCAAGAGACAAGTGCTGTCAATGGACACCCCTCTGGCCATTCTAGGGACATATAAAACAAACTTGCACCCAAAGTCACTGAGAAAGTTTTTCATTCCTAAAGCTAGCATGGTCTGGGGGACTCCACTAAAGGAAATGAACAAGGAATTGGCTACGGTCAAGTGCATAAGAATGAAGTCTGTGGATCGTAACCTGCTTCCACGGATGTGTAAGGAGATATAGTGAACTAAGAGTGAGAAATTCCCCAGGATTCCAATGATCGTCTGAAATAGATGGATCATTGCCATTTTCACATCCAGAGAAGGGAATTCTGCCCTCATTCACGCTTTAGGTTCAAATTCACAAATAGAGGATTAGACTGGAAACAATTGGAGATCACATTGTTCATGGGGGGAAAAATATACATATTTCCATTCACTATTTCTTAATTCTAAGAATTGCTTTCTAAGTAAATTCTTTATATAGAAAATTCCACCATCTCCTTTCTGTTTATAACATTCACTATGTAGTTGATCACTGTCATGAAGGAATTTTTTTCTGTTTTTTCTTATTAATTTTAATGAAAGTTTACAGAGACTTTGGATTTCCATTCATTAACTGTTGCACTTTTCTCTCTGACCACCCCTCCCTCCCAGTTTGCTCTTATTTTTGAAAAGTAAAAGGGAAATTCTTCCGTTGTTATAAAATCCCTACCCTCAAGTGCACTCCACTATGCTGCCTTAATTCTGGACTCCTTTCATGGTAATAATACCTAATCATATATCCCTTTTAAACAGTTCTCCCCCTCATCTGTTTCAATACGGTATACATTATTATCCCATTTTTCTCAGTCTCCCCCCAACCCTGATGCCAGTCCCATTTTACAACAACAGTGGCACTCTGCAGTATTTGTCCTTTTCTGACTGAGATATTTCACTCAGTATCATGTCCTCCAGGCTCACACATTTTGTATAATATTTCACGAGTTCCTCCTATTTCAATGCAGCCTAGTATTCTAGTGTGTGAATATACCAGAGCTCCTCTATCCGTTCGTTTGTTGATGGGCTCTTAGGTTGTTTCCAACTCCTTGCGATTATGAGCAAAGCCACAATAAACATGAGTTTGCATATACCTGCTTGGGTGGCAGTTACAGTTTGTCAAGAAGGTTTTACATATCAGAAATTATTTAATATGCATGAGTCTATGTTTTAAAAGCTACTGTTACTCTCTTTTGTCAAAGAGAAATTAGCTACAAGGAGGGTAAGGCACTTATCAGGGTAAGAACTTGGGGAGCATCTTTGCAATGAATTTATATTTATCAGTCTGCTTTTCTATCCTAGCTCCCTCATTGTATTCTTTAAGTAACCTGAATTCCTCTTCTATTTTAAAGACATTGCCCGCTTAATTGTGATCTTTTGAAATTATTTCCAAAAGTTTACTCCATGAACCAGTCCCACTCACCGATTGGCAGTGTTAAAGCAACAAAAATTTAATTCACTTTGTCAATATATAGATATCCTGGATAATTCTTCCTAACTCAACCATTCAATGTACTCAATAAATATAAACATGGTAATGGAATCATCCTGTATCTTAAATCAGGATTAAAATACACAGCTATAAAAAAAAATACACTGCTATCCACCACCAAAATTTTACAAAACAATGCCATGATACAAATTACAGGCTAGACAGCATCATAATTGATAGAGAATCGGGAGTTAAAACAGTTAATCTTCAACATCGATCCAGTGGATATGCACGGTCATTTCATACAATGACGAGAAATAAAAATTAAGGTTTGATTGATAGAAGCAACCGGAAACACCAGAAGAATATTCAAAATAGTATTGGGAGGAATGGATAAATTGGTTTTACCAGATAAATTAGCCAGTGAATTTATTGGATTAAGTGCATAAATTGGATATACTGAATATATTTAAGTGAAAGAGCTGATAAGTTCCATGGAAATCTTTCTCAGCCAAAGAAAATGTAACAAGAAATATTTTACCTTTATTTGGTGACCTGGAATTTTCATATTTTCCCCTATCTTTAAAGTGTTCAAGTCTGAAAACAAATATTTATTTAAAAATTAATTCCTTATTCATATGTGACAGTGTATGTATACGTATTGACTTCTTTGAGTACATCAGACCCAAGTTATTATAAAATCATTTTATCTTAGAAAATGTTAACTACACTTTTTCCTAAGAATTTGATAACTATTAGTTCCAACATTCCCATTATTCCATGCATAGTGTGTTTCCAAAAATGACTCTAGTACTCTTAGGAAAAGTCTTTAGGGTTTCAATACACCATATTGAACACCAGACTAATATTTACATTTTAATATTGGAGCACCATATATTTAACAATGAGATGTCACTTAGACCCGTATAATACCAAGAATCGATATCTTTGTGGCTTTATACATTATGAACATTCCAAGATTGATATCAGATCTTACAACTCCATCTCCCTCAAATCTTAGCTCAGGCCTGGGAAATTGTGTTCCTTCCTCGGTAAACCTACCACTCCACAAGCTTCTACTTCAGAGAAATCTGTTTTCCAGACACTGTCACGCATGCAGCTCCTGATTTATGTCTTCCTTTTCTAGAACCTACCTTACAGTTGAAACAGAAAGTTCTCTATGGACTCTCAGCTGATGGCAGGGCAATGGCATCTGTGATGGTCACATCAGGCAAAAGAGGTGTGAACGGTCAGCAGGCAGACCCTGAAATATGGCTTAGAGACTGTGTGACCTCACCTCCCCACAGAACAGCAATTACCACCTCACCCACAGCAACCATGACAGTCCACCTCCAGGGAGCGGAGGAAAGTTCAGGAAAAGTTGACCACACTTTGTAATTCTGGGAACTCCAGTTTCTGGTGAGCATGTCCAAAGAGACCATTGGAGTAGCCTTGAGACTCTTCCTTTTCCATCATCCCTGGAGGCAGACAGGGCTGCCATGGAGGGAGCGGGAGAGGCTGAGGTGGGGGCCAGCAGGGACTGGCAGAGCAGAACAGGACATGCCTCTCACTGCATTCTCTGCCTCTCAGAAATGTTTTTTCTATGAGAACCTAATATTTTACCAGTCCTCAGCTGCATAAGAACAACTATCATTTCATGTTCTAATAGTAACAGTAAGATCACGATGTCAAAAATAGTATAAAATATTTTCCTCATTTATTTTTTAAATTTTCTTGTTATTATCATTAATTTTAATGAAGATTTACAGAGATTTTGGATTTCCATTCATTCATCGTTGCACTTTTCTCCCTGCCCACCCCTCTCAATATGTTATGTAGGAAATTTAATAAAAAGAAAATTTTCGACAAAAATACACTATCCTCGATGAAGATGACGCCGAAAGTGAAGAAGGAAGCCCCTGTCCCTCCCAAAACTAATGCAAACGCAAGGGCATGAAAGTCCGAGAAGGTGTCCTGAAGGGGCATCCACAGCCAAAAAAAAAAAAAAAGGAAGATCCGCACGTCACCCACCTTCCGGCGGCCTAAGATGCTGAGACTCCGAAGGCAGCCCAGATACCCCCAGAAGAGCGCCCCCAGGAGAAACAAGCTTGACCACTATGCCATCATCAAAATTCCCCTGACCACTGAGTCAGCCATGAAGAAGATAGAAGATAACAACACACTTGTGTTCATACTGGACGTCAAGGCCAACAAGTACCAAATTAAAGAAGCTCTGTGACATCGATGTGGCCAAGGTCAACACCTGGATCAGGCCTGATGGAGGGAAGAAGGCCTGTGTTCACTTGCTCCTGACTATGATGCTTTGGATGTTGCCAACAAAATTGGGATCACCTAAACGGAATCCACCTGGCTAATTCTAGATATATATTTTTCCTCACAAAAACAGCAACAACAACAACAAAAACCAAAACAACAAACCAACCCCCAAAACAAAACAAAAAAATCCCCACAAACGGCTATCTTCATATTCCTTTCTGAAGAAATTGTTAGCTATCTGACAAGACTGTAGAATGAATGGCAGTCCCCCCTCAGTCAGAGGTAAATTGTTTCCTAGGTGTTGTAAACAGTGAATAGCCTAGTTTGGTCTTCCTTGCCTGAAGCAAAGAAGTGAGTCCACTGGAAAACAACAGGAAGATTAACCATCAATAGATCCCTAGTTCTGTGCTGCTGAGAATTCATCCCAGTGGGGGCTGAGGCCTTGTTAGTATATTTGCTTTAGAGGGAAGGCGAGGACACAGAAATGAAGATATAAACAAGTACAATTGTCTAGGAAGAGAACAGGGCCATTTCTGTTCCAGTAGAGAAGCGAGGGAAAGTCCTTCTCCATGATGCTGTGGTTGTTAATGGGCCATAAAATCGGACCAGGCTCATAGCTGACCCTCCAGGAGATTGTGAGAGACTGTGACTTCATGTAATAGAATTGTCCCTCTTTCTTCCTCCATTGGGCATGTCATGAAGTAGACCCTTTCAGTGATAGACTGACAGAGTGATTCCAACAGTGGTGTCACACACCCAAAACTGTGAGGTGGTGTGGAGCAGTTAACATCTTGTTCTGTTCAACAAGAGAGTTGGTGAGGTGTGTATAGTTGCCAACAATTATCAGTCTCAGTGTTGATGTTATTGAAAAACGTTAAGACTTCCCACCAAAGCAAATGACAGTTTTTCTTAGTTGAAATTTGAACCCATCACCCACTCTATGAGAGGAATAAAGAAACAATCTCCTAGGGAACAGACTTTACATTCTTGGAAAATCTCTAGATCTCTTCTGCTCTATAATTCAGGGTTGCAATGGCTTTCAACTAACTTGAGAATAGTGAGTTTACTAGAGATTATCCATTTTAATCTTTCACATACTCTGAATTTCACTATTAAAATGAACCAAAGAAACTCCCAGTAAGTATTTAGCACTAACCAGGTATCATACACATACATTAGATTGTGGTTGCTGTGAAGCTGAACACTGTGTCACTGATGTGTCAAATGCATTAATGGTTACCACGGCGGACCGTGTTTGGTGGAGCTCACCAATTAAATCAAGGTTGGAAGCAGGAGTGGCATCCATTTCCAAAATAGCTTGCCTCTGGAAACCCTATGAATTTGGAGAAAGGATAAAAGGCACATGTCCAACAAGTTCAGGTGACCTGCTTCAATGAGTTAGAGATCTATATCCATCCTGATGGAATCATCCCAGAGCTGACTTTCCTCAGAGATCACACCAATGCACAGTTCAGATCCTTGGCTGACTTAACAGCAGTGGACATCCCAACCCGGAAAAACCGTTTTGAGATTGTCTACAACCTGCTGTCTCTGAGTTTCAACCCTCGGATCCGTGTGAAGACCTATACAGATGAGCTGCCACCCATTGAGTCTACTGTCCCTGTGTACAAGGCAGCCAACTGGTATGAGAGAGAGATCTGGGACATGTTCGGAGTCTTCTTTGCTAATCACCCTGACTTAAGAAGGATCCTGACAGACTATGGCTTTGAGGGACATCCATTCCGGAAGGACTTCCCCTTGTCTGGCTACGTTGACCTTCGCTATGATGATGAGGTGAAGCGGGTGGTGGCTGAGCCGGTGGAGTTGGCCAAGGAGTTCCGCAAATTTGACCTCAACAGCCCCTGGGAGGCTTTCCCTGCCTATCGCCAGCTCCCTGAGAGTCCCAAGCTTGAGGCTGGGGACAAAAAGCCTGAAACCAAGTAGCTCCATGGAAGACACGTGGGCGTGTAGATACTCAGAAGCGCCTTACCTATAATTAAGTGTTCGTGTAAATAAAGTCCTTCTTAGACCAAAAAAAAAAAAAAAGTCACATAAGTGTTGAAGACTTTCATTCATAAGGTCGCTATGAGTGGCCTATGACTCGACGGCACTTAACAACAACAACAACAACTCTATGATAATCTATTCTCTATCGAGGGGCAGGATCTCAGTCTGCTTAGTTCCTCACATTCTGCAATATGAATGATCTGGGGGATTCCCTCCCTCCCCTTTTTTTTTTGGTTTAAGATTCGGTGAAGGATGGTTAAAAAGTGACTTCATATGGTGTAAAAACATGAACTTTACATTTTAAGTAAGTGATGGAAATTGTGTATTCCTTCCACAAAGGGCATAGCAAAATCTCAAAACCTGGGGGTCACTGGTCATGAGAATAAAGGGGCTGACTGTGGGGAAACATGATGTGATGAATATAGACATGTTCATCAGCTGCGAACTAGGGTCATAATTAAAAAGAGCCAAATAAGCATAAGTAACAGAAGAGATGGCATAAAAGGTTACAAAGGTGCCCACCAGAACAAGTACTCTTCGGGAGATTCTAATCTCAGGGGAGGATCTGTGGAAGAGTTTGTTCTTATAAATGTATTTGACCTGCTGCCTGTGTCTGTACAGGATGAAAACCATGGAGCTGCTGGCCCAAGACATGAGCCCCAGACAGAAAACATCATGGGAAGGCACAAAAGCTGTATAGATTATTAATACAGTATTGTCATCAAGTGGAAAATAACAGTATCCCACATTCGTTTTCTTTGTGATGGTTTTGTTGCTCATTTGAACAGCGAAATAGATGGGATAAATGGCATTGACCATCATGTGTAGGACCCAGGAGAGGACACTGAAAGACCCAACATAATTGATGACTTGTGGTTTAAGTGCTGCCCACCTGGAGTTCCTAGCGCTGATCGTGATGACCTGGAAGACACTCAAGAGGCAGGTGCTGTCCATGGACACCCCTCTGGCCACTCTAGGAACATATAAAACAAACTTGCACCCAAAGTCACTGAGAAAATCTTTCATTCCTAAAGCTAGCATGGTGTGGGGGACTCCACTAAAGGAAATAAACATGGAATTGGCTACGGTCAAGTGCAAAAGAATGAAGTCTGTGGATCGTAACCTGCATCCGCGGATGTGTAAGGAGATATAGTGAATCGAGAGTGAGAAATTCCCCAGGATTCCAATGATCGTCTGAAATAGATGGATCATTGCCATTTTCAGATCCAGCGAAGGGAATTCTGCCATTATTCATGCTTTAGGTTCAAATTCACAAATCGAGGATTTGACTGGAAACAATCGGAGATGAAATTTTTCATGTAAATATATACATATTCCCATTCGCTATTTCTTAATGCCAAGAATTTCTTTCTAAGTAAGTTGTTTATATGGAAAAAGCCCACCATCTACTTTCTAGTTGTAACATTCACTATGTATTTGGTCACTGTCATGAATATTTTTCTTTTTCTCTATCTTTCCCCCCTTTTATTCTTATTTATTATTAATTTTAATGTAAATTTACAGACTTTGGATTTCCATTCCTTCATTGTTGCACTTTTCTCCATACCCACGACTCCCCCACCAGTTCGCTGTTCTGTTTGAAAAGTAAAAACGATCTATGATTATGGTTGTGGCAGGAGTCCAGAATGAAGGTTTCATAGTGGAGTGTACTCAGGGCGAGGGGATTGTATAACAATGAAGGACTTTTTCCTTTTCTTTTCAAACAGAAGAGCGAACTGGGTGTGGGGAGGGGAGAAAATGCAACAATGAATGAATGGAAATCCAAAATCTCTGTAAAATGTTCATTAAAATTAATAAAATAAAATTTAAAAAGCGCTTCAATCTTAATCTTTTCACAAAAATATAATTTCTGATGTCAGAGTAATTTTAAATGAAAGTAGAATTTCAAAAAGATGTTCACCTGTGTTGTATTGGCTATGTCACGGCCTTCAACTGTGTGAGTCACAAGAAATGAGAATTTTAGAATACTTTGCTGAGCTCACATGGAACCGGTACATAGACCAAGTGACAGTCATTTGAAGAGACAAGGGATTATCATATGGTTTAAAATCAGAGAAAGTGTAGGTCAAAGTTCTATCCTGTCACCACAGACAGTTATTCAGTCTATATGCTAAGCAAACAATTGAAAAAAACTGGACTTTATGAAGAAGGGCATGGCTTCAGGACTGGAGGATGACTCATTAACAATCTGTAATATACAGATGACACAACATTGTTTGCTGAAAGAAAAGAAAAATTAAAGCATTTGCTGAGGATGAAACAAGAAAAGTAAAAGAAAACTTCTTTCATTGTTATACAATCCCTCCCCCCACCTCCCCCCCAAGCCCACTCCACTATGCAGCCTTTGTTCTGTACCTCTGTCATGACAATAATACCTAATCATATATCCCATTTTAACAGTTTTCTCCCTCATCTGTTTCAATGCAGTATACATCATTTATCCCATCTTTCTCAGTCTCCCCCCAGCCCTTATGTCAGTACCATTTAACAACAGTGGCACTATGCAGTATTTGTCCTTTTGTGACTGAGATATTTCACTCAGCATAATGTCCTCTAGGGTCACCCATTTTGTATAATATTTCATGAGTTCCTTGTTTTTCAATGCAGCATAGTATTCTACTGTGTGAACATACCAGAGCTTCTCTATCCATTCAATGATGGGCACTTGGGTTGTTTCCAACTCCTTGTTACTGTGAACAAAGCCACAATAAACATGAGTTTGCATTTATCTCCTTGGGTGGCAGTTATGGTTTGTCATGAAGATTTTACATATAAGAAATAATTTAATATACACGATTCCATGTTTTAAAAGCTACTGTTACTCTCCTTTGTTAAAGAGAATTTAGCTACAAGAAGTGTAAGGCCCTTATCAGGGTTTAAACTTGGGTAGCATGCTTGCAATGAATTCTTATTTATTAGTCTGCTTTTCTACCATAGCGCCTTCATTGTATTATTTAAAGAATCCAAATTCCTCTTCTACTGTATATACACTGCATGCTTAATTGTGATTTATTTCAATTGTTTCCTAAAAATTTAATCAGTGAACCAATATCACTTAGGCATCAGCAGTGTTTACGCATCAAAAATGTAATTTATTTTATCAACATGTAGATATCCTGAATAATTTTTCCTACCCGAGCTGTATTTATTCAGTAAGTATAAACACAGTAATGAAATCATCCTGCATTTTAAATCAGGATAAAATACATTGCTTTCCACCACCAGAATTTTACAAAACGATGCCGTAATACAAATTACATACTGGTTAGCATCATAATTTATAAAGAATAAGGAGTTAAACGATTTAATCCTCGACATTGATCCTGTGAACATGCACGGTCATTTCTCACAATGACAAGAAACCCCAATTAAGGTTTGTTTAATAAAAACTACTGAAACATCAGACAAATATTCAAAACAGAATTGCATGAACGGGCAAATGGGATTTATTGGGTAAGTAGATTCACCAATGGATTTATTGGATCAAATGGGTAAATTAGATACATTGAATACATTTAAGTGAGAGAGCTGATAAATAACGTGGAAATATTTCTAAGCCAAAGAAAATGCAGCAATAAATATTTCACCTTTATTTGGTGACCCGGAGTTTTCCTATTTCCCTGTAGCTTTCTAAAGTGTTCAAGTATGAAAACAGATATTCTTTAATAAGTCTTTTACTTATTCATATATAACAGTGTATGTGTATGTACTGACTTCTTTGAAAACATCAGACCCAAGTTATGGTCCAATAATTTTATCTTAGCAAATGTTAACTATTTTTTTCCTCTAAGAATTCCATAATTGTATTCATGCCAAAATCCCATTATTCCATGCATAGTGCATTTCCAAAAATGACTCTTGTACTCTTAAGAAAAGTCTTTAGGGTTTCAATACACCATATTGAAAACTCGATTAATGTTGATATTTTAATATTGGAGCACAATATAATTAAGAATGAGCTGCCACTTAGACCCAATATGAAGACTCAATTTCTCTGTGGCTTTCATAAATTATGAACGTTAAAAGATTGGTATCATGTCTCACAACTTCCACCAAATATCAACTCAGGTATCAGAAATTGTATCTCTTCCTACATAAACCTACCACTCAACAGGTTTCTATGTCAGAGAAATCTGTTTTTCAGACATCTTCACTCGTGCAGCTCCTGATTCATCTCTTCCTTTTTGAGAACGTACCTTGCAGTTGAAATAGAAAGTTCTCTCCTGACTCTCAGCTGATGTCAGGGCAGTGGCAAAAGAGGTGTGAACGGTCAGCAGGCAGACCCTGAAATATGG